CTTCAGCTGGAACTGGGGCCTTAGTCAAGGCGTTGGAAATTATGAACAGTTCCAAATACCAGTCAATATTGGCACATAACCTTCAGGCTTCTGCTAGAAAGCTGAAGATGAAGAAGAACTTCATCTTTCAGCACCACAGCGACCCAAAGCATACATCCAAATCAACAAAAGAATGGCTTCACCAGAAGAAGATTAAAGTTTTGGCATGGCCCAGCCAGAGCCCAGACCTGAATTCGATTGAAAATCTGTGGGGTGATCTGAAGAGGGCCGTGCACAGGAGATGCCCTCGCAATCTCACAGATTTGGAGTGTTTTTGCAATGAAGAGTGGGCGAATATTTCCAAGTCAGGATGTGCCATGCTGATAGACTCACACCCAAAAAGACTGAGTGTGCAATAAAATCAAAAGGTGCTTCAACAAAGTATTAGTTTAAGGGTGTGCACACTTATGCAACCTCATTATTTTTGTTTCTTTATTTTTACTCGCCCAACCTAAAAGATTTCAGTTTGCTTTTCAATTGAGCTGTACAGGTTATAGGTCACATTAAAGGTGGGAAAATTTCTGAAATGATTTATCTTGGTCTCATTTTTTTTACGTCACAGACACATGGCATTTTAACAGGGGTGTGTAGACTTTTGATGTCCACTGTGTGTGCATATATATCGCAATAGGTCGCAAATATAGACTTTCTGTTATTTTTAGTTACACTGCAACACTGGAATGTCAGCAATTAAATAATTTTGATTCAACATGTTGGAAATCTCCTTATATCTGCTCTCTAACAAGACACAAGTTTCCCCAGCACACTGTCCATGACTTTTTTCTCGCTAGTTCCCCAGCTTGCAACCTAACTGAGAGGTAAAAGTGGTTAAATTTTTTCTGAAGGAGAAAAAAAAGAGAAAAAAAAAAACGAGAACCACTTCCCATAGGATTATGTGTAAAATGCTAAAATGTCCACTAGTGGTTGAGAACAAAAAAATGCCAAGTGTGAAAGCAGCCTTAGACATAATTAGCAGTAACAATTTTTTATTTTATGCCAGTGACTTAAAGGAAAATCACTACTGTATTTATTACAGAGTCTCGTTCTAGTTATCCGTCACCTGCTCATATGAGTTCAGCGTTAGAACTCACGGACGTACCCTTGAGTCTGCCGGAGGCGGCCTTCCAGTTGACCGTGCCCTCATACAGCAGCCTCCTGCCTTGTGTCACATCCTCCCTCCTGAAGATGCGGCCATCTTTAATCTTGCCGAATGCTTTAGGCTCCATCTTGGCGGCGATCTCTTTGAGGCGTGTCTCCTTCTCGTACAGACTCACCTGGCTATCCACATGCACGATGGCACCTTTAATCAGACTCAGAGCCCGTGCCAGCTCCGTGTGTTCCTCAGAGTCGGCTGTGGAGAAAACATGGACAGCATTATAACAACTGATTTAAGTGTTGGAAGGGCAAGGCTAAATCCTTTGTCTTTGCTGTACTCTGAAGACATCTGGGTTTGAGGTGAAGATGAATACGAGTATAGTCTTAAAGTAAATTAAAGTAAATAACACTTAATTTGCATATCCCTTGCTTGCAATAACTGCATCAAGCCGGCGACACAGTGATCTTTTTGTGATCTCTCAGCTGATTATCTGTTGATTATTATTATTACTTTTTTTTGGTCTTAACTTCAAGAGAGCTAAAAAGAGAGAGGTTGGTGAGGGAACGACTGTTTACAGCTGCTATAACATAAGTGAGAACAGAAACTCACTTTTTTCATGGGTGTTTTATAACATTACATGTAACTATAAATGGATAAAAGTATAATGTGTCACTCTCTAATACCTAGGCAAATTGTAGGCAAATTGTTGTGGTATGAGAGGAATCGAAGACAATGGGATGTACTGTTATAGGACAATAATCTGCTTCGTCACACCATCTCGTCACTGATTATGTTCCTATAACAGCACGACACCGAGTGTTTTATTCCTTTAGCTAAACGCACTGATACTGAGCCAATTCTGTGTAATTAACTCATCTTTTTTTAAATGTAAAAAAAGAAAAGCTACACTGCTTATTGTACATTAAAACCACCTCTAGAGAAATCATTGTATATAATATGCTAATGAGTCAGCTGTGCATATCATTAATGGCCTCACGACGTGTCACTTCCATTAACATCTCCTGTCAACGCAATCCAAAAGAAACCTGGTGAGTGACATGACTTCGCTAGAAGGATTTCAAGTTCATCAAAATGCACTTCATTATTCTCAATGTACTCTATTTTTAAAAACATCAGCAAATTGTACATTTTAAATCAGGTCGGACCTTCTGTGTACTGCAGCATGCGCTCCACGAGAACGGGATATTTGGTGATGCGCTGCGTGACGAGCAGGATGCACTCCGGAATGCCGAGCCGTCGCACGATGGACAGGTTGTTTATTTTCTAGGAAAAAAAGGACAGAACAGCAAGACATTGTTGAATTTATTCGGACTTTAATGAATTTGGAATATAATAATAATAATAATAATAATAATAATAATAATAACAACAACATCATCAGCGTGGTGGGTTGTAAGTTACTTACTTCAAAAACAACTAGGAAAAAATTATGAGAATTATGAGGTTTCATTGTATAAAAAAAAGGTTAAAAAAAACATTTTCATGTTTTCAATATTTTAACTGTGAACTAATTTACACGTAATTATAATACTGTCAGTCTTCAGTTTTTTCCAGATGTGGTCAGTTATGTTAATATAAATGAGTTTTGGGGGTTTGAAAGAAAAAAAAAAAAAACAAAGGAGAGAGGGATGCTATCTTCTCCTCCTACCCTTATATGGTTCTGAAATTTCTTGTTGCTCTGCAGCTGCTCTTTGTAGTAGCTGACGGCTTCGGTGTGGTGACTGCAGAACGCGCCGTAGCTTTCCTTCATCCGCTCTCCGAGTTCACCTGAAAACTGCACGAGAGGGAAACAACTGTCCAAAGCTGCGTCCAAAAAGTACAATCTGTGGCTAACTACTTACATATCTAGGAGAATGATGCTAAACTGGTAGCTACATGCTTCCATAACTTGCTAGCTAAAATTATCAACTACATTTGTCCTAAGGGGTAATTTCTCCCCCTGCCCCCCCTCCCCTTTTTTTAACAACAGCAGTTATCTCTCACCAATCATTTTAACACTGTCTCTTTACTGTTAAGGTAGAAATAAAGCACTCCATGTCATGCTGTTATAGAAAAATAATCAAAAGCAAGATGGTGAGATGAAGCAGTTACTTTCACCACTCCAAATTCCTCTTACACCACAGCAATTTGCAGCCAATTACAATTTTTTGCATGTACATTAACATGTACTTTTTATATGTTTATAGTTACATTTAATGTTGTAGAACTTCACTGGAACAAGTTAGTTCCTGTTATTACCAGGGACAGCTATAAACAGTCACCTCACCAATCTCTCTTTTTCTCCCTCTTAAATGTATAGCTTTACTTCTGACTGTTACAAAGCGCTCACACCGGAGACTCCTTACATAAATGTTCAATAAAGGCCTCCTTACAGAAAACATCACCATATCGTTTATGTGGAACATCAGACATACCTGTGAGAAGCTGTTACTATAAAAACAATAACGTATGAGCATGTTCATATAAACCTGTGATTTGCAGCACTATTAAACAGCTTACACAGCATTTAGCAACTTCTAACCAATTAGAATCTAGAATTCAGCAGTGCTGTGATATAAATGATGCTTAATGTCATCATGACTGTACCCTATGCAAACTCAAGAGAAATACCTGGTCACTGAGGATATCTGCCACGCTGTGGATGATGTAGTTGCGTTCACTCCCCGGCTCCAGCGTGTCCTGGCGTCGCCCTCGGAGGCGGGACAAGAAATGGCCGTGTAGGTCTAGCAGGCTTTCCAACTGCGGGAATAAGCAATCCAGTCTGCGTTCGTCCAGCTGCAGAGTCTCACGCAGCTCGTGGACGTACACTAGCAGCATGATCTTCAGTGTGCGCACGTGGTGCATCTCGGTCTGGATCAGCTCTGAAACAAACAATTCATATGTAATTAATAATAGTAAAATGTAAGGATTTTGTACAGAAATGTTTTGTTTTTTAAATTCATGAATCTAAAATAGTAACATTATTTGTTTTTTGGTGAATCATTAAAATATTTTAAAGGTTAAAAATGACTGAATCTTTAACATTATAAAATTGGAAAACTCTGCACTGACTTTTTTTAAAAATAGCTTTTTTTTTTTTTTAAATTTACAGAATCTTTAAAAATATAAAATGTTTATTCTTTTACTGAATCTTTAAAATTGCAAAATGATAAGATTTTGTACCAAAAATATTTTTTACATTTCTGAATCTTTAAAATTGTAAGAATTTTACAATTTTGTACAGATTTAAATATTTAAATCTGTAAAAGGTTAAAATTTTGTACAGCATTTTTATTTTCCCTTTTTTCAGAGTTTTATTTGTGTAAAAAATCTTACATGTGCAACCTCAGCTTTTTTTTTTTTTTTATATATATTTTTCTAAAAAAGTAACTAATTTGCTGGTTGTTCATTAGCAAATAATCATGTGCTGTAGAAATCTTTTACAATACTTTAAATTTACATACAGTACTTTTGTCATATCTCCCACCCTTATTTGTAAATGGTCCCTCGCTCACTATTCCCTACACAGAACCCTATTTGTGATCAACATTTAATGACATTTACAAATTTTATTCGACATTGCACAGATAATTTTACAGAAAATTACACAGGCTAATCCTGTAGCAAACCTGAGGACAATGAAGGTCATGTGACTATAGAAATTACTTTACAAATCTCTTAAATGCTGTTGTTCTTTCGGCTGTCCCGTTAGGGGTCGCCACAGCGGATCATTGGTCCGCATATTTGATTTGGGGCAGTTTTTATGCCGGATGCCCGTCCTGACGCAACACTACCCGATTTTATCCGGGCTTTAGATCGCCACTGGGAGGGCACTGTCGCGTGCAACCCCAGTGGCTGGGGTCGGTTCCCTGGCCGGGAATCAAACCCAGGTCACGGCCGAGAGAGCGCCGAGGCCTAACCACTAGACCTCCAAGGACCTTTACAAAACACTTACATATGTACTTTATATTTGTAAGAAGTCTGAATCAAAACAAAGCAAGCATGGCATTATGGGTATTTCTTGGTATGGAATGGATACACTACCTATTGTGGTGCATTGTGGGATTGATAGTGTGTGTTTACTTTAATAAAGCAAAGCCCCAGACACAAAATCCCTTTATTTCTCAAGTGACTATCGCCCTCTGGTGGAGTGTGTGTGTGTGTGCGCGCTTGTGGTTTAAAATAACATCACAATGTGGTTTAAACATCTTAAAGGTCCTACATGGGGATTTTATCGGTTAACCGATACATTGGTCAGGATATAATTACAATATTAAATCTGATATTCACAGTTTCAGTTTGCTGTGTTATATGGACCAATCAGAGCTTACCATAATGTTTACTAATGAACAACAAGAAAAAAAAAATCTAAATTGTGTGTCAGAGAGCATATTTACATAGTACTTTATCTACATTGTTCATCATTTCCTTAATACAAACTTACTATTACACACAAGCAGGTTCAGCGAACATGACATCACTTCCAGCTGGAAGGAGATAACATGCTTTGAGGCTGTGAAGCACTAAGCAGTGTGAGAGGCGTGGCAGGTGGGGTGTGTAGGTGAGATAGGGAACGGTGTCTACAACACACACACACACACACACACACACACACACACACACTCACCGTATATCACATCCTGTCTCTTAATCAATTCTTTGGAATGTTTCTTTAAGAAATGCTGATCCACGGCCAAACTCCACGACTCCACCTCAAAGTCCTGAGCCATTGAGTCCAGCTCCACTCGCACGTTGCTGTAGTATGCATCTGCGCGCGCACACACACACACACACACACACCTGAGATTCATTTACAGTTCATAATATATATAACATGAGATCTCAGGAGATTTTTTTACTACATGTAATTTACAGTGTAGTTCTATGCATATACACATAATAAATAAAACTGTAAGAATATTATTATGAAATTTTTTTTAGCCTTCAGTTTAGAGTTCCTCTTTTTACAGCAGAGCACAGCGGCACTGCATCCAACATTCAGTCATGTTAATCAAAGCCTTTATTCTGGCCACTGACAGCGCACAGAGCGGCCTTCTGCAAAGGACTGTCATGGCTTCTAGCCACAAACATTCCAAAATTTAATATTCATGTTATATTTTGCAATGTATGCCCATAATCTAAACAGCAGTTTGTAGCCTAGTGTAGCAAGACTACACTGGTAAAAATCCAAATTTCATTAAAAAATCCTAAGTGACACTGATTGAAAAACACACCCTAAAAAAAAGTTGAGATAACATCAATATACAACACAAACACATTTTATACATAAACATAAAAAAAAAAGAAGAAAAAAACGATTCCTGACCTTCCACGATGACGGACTCGGCTGTAGACGGGGTGATGGAGATGGTGTCCTCAGCGTGGCGTTTAACTCTGAATGCGTCTACTTCATCCATCTCCCCTGTAATAGAGCTGAAACACAACAGAGCCGAAAGGTCCGAAAGGAATTCTGTCTAAGTTCCATCTGTCTAAGTATCACCTCAGCCCATCGCCATCACTGACCTGGAGCTGCTGGTGTGGCTGAGCGTGTGGTTGGTGCTGTGAGCGTTTTGCTGCCTGCTGGCTCCTCGGGGCAGGATGGTCATGCCTGCATCTGGGCGGATGGCGCCATCGGAGGCGAGGCACGGCTCCCTCGAGGCTGCGGAGAGACGAGACAAATAAGAATGGGAGAAACGGAGGAGCCACGAGTTGCCGAGATGCCAGCTGAGGCGGCGACGCTGAAGGAGAAAGCCCAGCGAAGCAGACACGACCTTTCTCCGAGCTTTATGCTTCCTGCGCATCACCAGGCCCATCTTCTCTCTCACGCCTTGTCGAAGGATGAAGAACCATCGACAAGAGTGGAAAAAAATCACAAGATCGATGTGCTTGATAAAGAGACAAGCAAAGTCTGAAAGACAAGCCCACTTTATGCCCCTCTTCTCTCCTTCTGCTGTTGGGGAGGGGGTTTTGATGCAACAGGTTGTTGAGCGAACGGTTTAAGCTGAGCTTAAGAGTAACTGGTAAGGTATAATTCGATCTCGTGTGATCTCTGGGGAGGTTTAATCAGCCTCCCAGCCACACCCATGCATGTTACTCTATCTAGCAATCTGCAGATGACTGCTGAGCCAAAGACTGTTTATACGTAACAGAAAAACATTTTGGGATGTGCAGTTATAGGAAAAAAAAAATCACAACACACTAAACCATCTGTGATTATTTTCCTATAACTGAATGCCCTCAAAGTTATAAAGCACGTCATTCCTTACTTTGTGCATAGAATATAATCACCTACATGAAGCAGAGAAGCGTTTACTATGTGATCGAGAATACTGAGGATTGATGCTGCATTGAACTAAAACTAGTAACTCAATTTCTGATCATGAACTAGGCAAAAACAAAGGAAACACCCCCTTGGGAAAAAAACTCCTCAACCTTGAGTTCAGCAAGCGATGTCAAAACAACATCACAGCATCAACAGTTTAAAAAAAAAAAAAAAAAAGTTGCACATCTTTACTTTTAAATTGATTTATACTGTATTAGTATTAGCACTGTATGAGTATTAGCTTTAGATCAATCAACATACAGACATAGTGGCTTGTGAAATACAGTTCGCTGATGTGAGGAGGTAAATATACATCACTCATCACAGTTAGCCGGCTAATTTGTTGCCAACATGGAGGCATCAGTGATTATCCCCCACTTTGTAGCTTGAATGCATGGAGGACGAAGAAGGCATAGATCTTCCAAGAGGATATGAACGCAGCATAACTGATGTGTGGTGATAAAACAGACAGGGACAAATGTGGAGTTTGGGTAAAAATGCTAACAGAGTGAATATGAACGCTTTATTAGCACTTTTCTGGATGCATTTTGTCCACGTGGCCTTGATTCATATACTGATTTAATATCATTATACTATCACTATCACTATCTTTTCACTAACTACAACTCTGAAAGAGTTCAACAAGTTTCATGAGTTGGACCGAATTTTCTAGAAGGTGCCGAATGTCAGTTTAAGAATCATATTTTCATAATCATATTTTCATTTTAATTAGCTTCCCTGCTACAGTGCAACAGCTTTAATTTGCTGTCAGGGGATTCCAGCTCACGGGCGAGGACTGAAACCCAGGCAACTCGTATTCATCCACGTGAAGCCACAAAGAGTGAAAAATGGAGAAAATAAGGAAGACCACTCGGCAAATATTGCAAGACCATCCTGCAAACTCATTCTAACTGCAAGAAGAAAAAGGAAAACAGTCTTTAATACTGAACAAAGTGGAGGTTATATAGAAAAACACTCCTCTTTTGTATTTGCAAAAAAACAATGCAAAATAAAAACATTAAGGTTTCATTTGACTCGCCCTCACAAGTGCAAATGTTAGGCAATTTAAAATGAGAGAACTGTAATTTATGTATAATGTTGAACGGAGATGTTTATTTAACATTTATAAAAGGAGAAACTACACCAGCACTTCGGGGTAAAACTGTTTTCCGGCATGCTGTTATAGTAAAATAATCAGTGATGGGCTGGTGTGATGAAGCGGAGTTACTGTTACAACCCCTGAGGCATGTGCCGAAGTGTTTTATTCCTCTTACAACACAGCGATTTGCCAAAGAAAGAAAGTTGTACTTTTTTAATCTGTCTATAATTCGAGCTGATGATGTGGAAAGTCAGCGCAAAGCGTTACTGCAAAGTGTAACCTCCTCTGTCCTGAAGATGCCCGTAAACTTAAAGTTACAGCTTGACCCTTCCGTAAATGTTAAACAAACATCTCCTTACAGAAAACTGCACCATATCAAAGAGATTTGAATCCGTTAATGCGGAGCGCCCACCGCACAAGTCCCTGAGCGGTTACTATAGAAACGATAACATATTAGAACAAGTGCATTAATTATAAATAAACCTGTGATTTGCAGCTGCGGTTACAGAAAATGAATCAACACCTTCTGACCAATCAGATTCAAGAGTAGCAAGCAACCTCTTTTGGTTCATATTGTTTGAAAATCTAGACCTATTTCACTGCAAAACACGCTAGCAACAACCTTCATATTAGCGCTTTATCAAGATAACAAACCCGGCCTGACAAAAACAGCTTTTAAACTCACCTTGATTACTGGACTGAGCAGCTGCTTGGCTCTTCTGGGCAAAATCTTTACTCTGTCAAGAAAAAGAAAAATCGTAATTAAGACCTACCTTGACTCATTTATGATAGTTTATCATTTTTCAAACCAGACCAACCCTCTGAGCGCTGATGATATGACAGTGCTAGCTAGAAATTCTTCACTGAACCGTTCGAATCTCAAGGATAATTATTTTTTCACAAGCTTGACATACACGGCAACTGTAACCACATGTGGGCGTGGCCAGTGATCGTTCAGTCGAGGATTAGAAACGTTACAGGGAACAAAAACAAAAACCAATACAATTTTTCACTGAACGTAATCAAAAAAGTGAACAAGATCACTCTAAATTGTTCCAGAGGAAAAACATTATTTTTGCTCTGAAAATGTTAAACTTAAAATACACGTTTCTGGTTTAATGCAGCGTTAGGTTTTATTTACACCCTGGACTTCCTCTAAGCAGAGTAGGCTATCACATGTAAATACCGTTACTAACTGTTCTTTTATTTCATTCGAACCGGTTAGCGACGCTCTAACTCAGAACGAAGCGAAATGAAAAATAAATTGTTTCTAATCCCTGTGGTCGATTAGCATGTGTAAAAGTCTTACCTTGTTCTTACTGTTGCTACACTCAGGCAGGAGACTCTTACAGCTTTTGTGAACGTTAACAGCACAATCTGTAAAATTAAACAGGAAATAATAAAAAAATGGGAACAAAACAAACGTTACAGGTTCCCAAAAACCAGCGTGGCGGCACAAGACACGATCCATAACAGAAAAACAGAACAGGGATGCTACAGATAATAACACATCCAT